CGGTAATTGTACCCTTCCGTAATAAATGCGGTAGGTGGGGTAGTTGGGGAAGTACGATCTCGACCGTTGAGATCGGGGAGAGATCTACGGATACGGTCAGCCCGATACTTGTATATAATGAGGTCTCCTCCTCCTCATTTGATCATCTCTCATTTTCCAAGAAATAATACAAAGTTCAGAGCTTCTCTCTCTAGAGCTTCTCTCTCTAAAGTTCTTGCGAGTGTGAGTGTGGGAAGGCTTACTTGGGGAGAAATTCCTAAGGCTGCACGGGTGTGGGAACGCTAGATCGATCGACCCGTGACACTTGGCTGTCACTCTAGCGCTTGCTTGCTTGAGTTTCGAGCCCAAATTACGGCGATCAATGAAACAAGTGTCCGAGGCTTTTCTAGCTCGAAAGTTACTATCAGCCAAGCCTTTTCAACCAATTTCATTGATTGAGCTTCGTAGAAACCGAGAGGTGTGGTCAAGAGACGACAGGTCCGAAAATTCACGGAGACTAGAACGATGAAATGTGGGTCTTCAACGTGGTTGTAAGTTGTAACAGCAAGTTCAATTGGGGGCGAAAGCTTTACTTTGTTGATTGGGATTGTACTGGGAACTTCGACTGTGTATATCTCATATGTCACAGGTCTAATATCAATGACAAATTGACAATAGTTCAGATGCAATACAGCTGTTGGATTTTTCTGTGATACCCACGTAATTGATGATGTAATTATTCCGGTCCATCATGGACCGGGTTCATAGCTCTGTAATTATTCGCTAAATCAATGTAATTAATCAAACAATCGACTATCATTGTCCAGAAATGTAAGCATATCCGCTGCAACAAGCATCCCCCATCCTGCTTTGCAATAACTATATTCGTTACTGAAAATGACTGCTGCTAACTTAACGCAATTGAAGTAAAAGCCAAGAAGTGTTAAAATGAAGCGAATTAAACAATCCACACGAGGATTCACCGACAAGACTCTAAGATAATGTGTCGTCAACCAACAGGACAAGACATTTGGCTTCATAAGGCTATTCACCACACGCGAACTGGAATTTTTTTCTCTAGTCGAAGACTTACCGGTGAAGAAAGGATTGAAAATTGTGCAATGTCTTCTCTAAATATGATGGATGAAGATCCCAGTGTGTTCGGACGATGATGATTGGTTAGTTGACTCTGGGTGCTCAAATCATATGACGGGAGATCGATACAAGCTATCAAGCATATCTAAGTACAACGACAAATCAGCAATTGTCACCACAAACAACTCTAGGTTGCCAATCACCCACATCGACTAGACGCTAATAACATCCCAGTTCACATCAGGTTAAACTGCAAAGCGTGCATCACGTGCTTAAAATGAAGAAAACCTGTCGTTGGTATCTCAACTTACAAACTAGGGCAATTAGGTGGTGTTTGGCTCGAACATGTTAAGGTGTACAATAGTTTGGAACCCACCAGTATGCCTCTATCCATGTGATGTCAACTCAGGCGGCATACATGGACAAAACTCGATAGAAACAAGATGCCTGATTTGTGGCATGCTCAGCATGTAGTGTAAGTTCTCATAAGTTAAAGATGATGATGAAAAAGGTTATTCTAAAAGGTCTCCTCCTGTTAGATGCTCGAGAAGGCGTAGTATGTGTCAGGTAGCAAGCACATCGACTTCCGTGTGAGGAGACGAAATACAGAGCCAATATGCCTCTCGACCTCATCCACTCATATGTAATTGGACCAACAAAGCAACCATCATTCAGAAGTTCAAAGTACATGATAATGTTTATCAGTGATTTCTTCGGGAATGTCTGTTGATTTAATGAGAAAAACAAAACTGAGGCATTAAACAAATTAAAGGAGTTTAAAGAAAAAGTAGAAAAAGAAGTAGGCTAGGAAATACAATGCCTTCGTATTGACAATATGGGTGAGTACATATCATATGAACCTATAAAGAAGTATCTATAGAAGTGTAAGATACGCGAATAGTTTACATGTTCAAGTACACCACAACAAAATCAAGTTGTCAAGAGAAAGAACCAAAATATGGCAAAGACCTATAGAAGGATGCAGTATGCCAAGGTTTTGGGCAAACTGTATGAAGATGGTAGCACACTTAATCAATAGACTACTCCAAGTCAGGCTTGGTTTACCATACAAGAAGCTATGGAACCATGAGTCCATGATAAGTCACTTTAGAGTATTTGGATGCATATGTTATGCATTCGTACCCGATCACCTAGGAAGCAAGTTCAATGAGACGACGATTCTTTGTATATTTGTGGGCTATGATGATGAAAGAAAAGGTGAAAGCGTTGTGATCCTATAACAGGCAGCATTACACTTCTAGGAACTTGGTATCCGACGAAGCATCATAGTGGGGATCATCACAAGCAGTTATACTAGATTCAAAACAAATTGAAGAGGTACATGAAAGAATGGAAGAAGATAATGGGTCTCATAAGGCCCAATCGATCCAAGAAGTAACCATAGAAGGGTGATCCCACAGAAGAACTCAAAGCACAACCACCAAAAAAATCAAAGAGTCCGGGGTGGACGGGTGTACATCCAACAATGACGGAAGAGGGCAAAAGTACACCACAAGTGCCATAACTTGTGTACGGCGATCACTTTGGTGCCATAACTTTTTTTCGGATCACTTTGGTACCAAGTCGGAGGAAAAGAGATCGCTTTAGTGCCAATTTGGCCGGAAATCCAACGTGGCATTTTTTATTAATTTTTGACGCCGACGTGGCTCGCCGGAGGCTAAGTCAGCGTGTACAGTCAGCATTTTTTATTTTAAATAATTTTTTTCAGCGTGTACAATCAGCATTTTTAATTTTAAATATTTTTTCCTTTTTTTTCTTCTTTCCTTTTTCTTTTCTTTTCTTTTTTTTCTTTTCTCCCCTCGTCGGCCGGTCGCCGGTGGCCCCGGCCACTGGCGAAGCCTGAGAAAGGCTGGGCGAGGGCGGCCTTGCCCATGGCCGGCGAGGGGCGGCCGACCTCGCCAGCGACAGGCGAGGCCAGCCCAAGCGAGGGCCGCCTCGCCCGACGCCGGCGAGGGTCGCCCTCTCCCGATCCGGCGAGGGCGACCCTCGCCGGCGTCGAGCGAGGGAAGCCCTCGCCCGGGCGGGCGAGGGTCGCCTTGCCCATGGCCGGCGAGGGGCGGCCAGCCCTCGCCGGGCGACAGGCGAGGCCGGCCCTCGCCGCCCGAGCAAGGCCACCCCTCGCCGGCCCAGGTGAGGCTGCCTCGCCCGACGCCGGTGAGGGTCGCCCTCGCCGGATCTGGCGAGGGCGACCCTCGCCGAGTTGGGCGAGGTAGCCTCGCCTGGGCGGGCGAGGGTCGCCCTCGCCAAATCCGACGAGGGCGACCCTCGCCCGCGTCGGCGAGGGAAGCCTCTCGCGGGCGGGCGAGGGTCGCCCTCGCTTGAGTCGGGCATGGGCGACCCTCGCCCGACGCCGGCGAGGGTCGCCCTCGCCAAATCCGGCGAGGGTCGCCCTCGCCAAATCCGGCGAGGGCAACCCTCGCCCGCCCGGCGAGGGCTTCCTTCGCCCGACGTCGGCGAAGGTCGCCCTCGCCGGCGTCGGGCGAGGGCAGCCCTCGCCTGTCGCCGGCGAGGGTCAGCCGCTCCTCGCCGGCCATGGGTAAGGCCGCCCTCGCCCAGCCCTTCCCAGGCTTCGCCGGTGGCCGACCGGCCACCGGCAACCGGCCGGCGAGGGGAGAAAAGAAAAGAAAAGAAAAAAAAGAAAAGAAAAGAAAAAGGAAAGAAGAAAAAAAAATGAAAAAAAATATTTAAAATTAAAAATGCTGACTGTACACGCTAAAAAAATTTATTTAAAATTAAAAATGCTGACTGTACACGCTGACTCAGCCTCTGGCGAGTCACGTCGGCATAAAAAATTAATAAAAAATGCCACGTCGGATTTCCGGCCAAATTGGCACTAAAGTGATCTCTTTTTCTCCGATTTGGCACCAAAGTAATCCGAAAAAAAGTTATGGCACCAAAGTGATCGCCGTACACAAGTTATGGCACTTGTGGTGTACTTTTGCCGACGGAAGAGCTTCGGCCAAGTCAGATGGACAAACTTGAAGAGCAAGCTCCTCAACTATGGTCAACAAAGCAAAGGAAATAGAATCCTAAATATTCAAACTCAACTTATGAAGAATCTACGCCAACCAATTGACTATCCCGTAGAGCTAATATTTCCTGAAAGAACTAAGAATGTAGAAGTACATTATTACTTCTTGCGTGAAATAAGTGCTATCGATAGCAGAGATAGAGATGAAGTACGTAAAGACAATTGATCGAGTTGCTGATATTTTCATCAAAGGACTTGGCATTGCAAAGTTTGAAGAGTTCTGAAAGCAACTCACCATGGTCGCTAGATCTGCACTGAGATAAGAGTAGTTGGTGATGGTGAGCATTGAAGTTAGTTGCACCGCCTCTACTCTCCAAAATTCCTAATTTATTTCTTTATTTACCTGGATTTTTCTTGGTAGGAGATATTTTAGTGGAATAGTGTAGAATTGTGTACCTAATAGATTGTCCACATAGTATCATTGGTAATCGCTAGAATTAACCAGGGAGATGGATTTCTAAAATTATCTCAAAGGAAGAGCCACCTCCTTGTTAGGGCCATAATAGCCACGAAGTGCTCCCCGTTTAAGTATGTGTGTGAAAGAAGTCCTGAGACATATTATATAATTGTGAGATATTGTGGAGAGTGCTTATGATAAAAAAAAATTTATGTTTTCTTTAATTGAACATTATGTCTTTCTCTGCAAGGCGGATCGTAGCCGAGAAGAATTGTCGACTAAATTGCATCTGTTCATCGGCCCTTGCAGCATAATAAGTGCGACCAAAGCCTGCGTTACTTCAATGGATTCCAACCTAGTAAATGATTAAATCTTCGGGATGACACTTGTATGCGTTATATAACTTTTCTAACTCAAGTTGCCGCATACTTGAAAGAAATATCGATGAGCACAGCACATGCCGGCGTTACTACTATCTCAAGGAAAAACTGAATCCACTCATGACTTTCATACAAACATTCAACTTTCGAACTTCGAATTGCAAGTGAGGTAACATCCCGGTGATGGTGTAATGAGCCCCCAACAGCGCGAAACATTAGGCTCGCAGTTAGATTTTGCTCTGCTTCCATCTTGGACGAGCAGAAAGAGTTTGCAAAACAGCAAATGTCCCGATCCCGATCCTATATCGACCTTCCTACATGTGTATTCTTTACTTGATCTTGGAATTCCACTCTTCAGTTTCCTGTGTTTCCGCCATCGCTCCTCCTTCTGTCATTCGCCTTCTTCCACTCCTCTACATTCTTCAGCCTCGCGTACATCTTCCTTATCCTGTTGAGCTTCTGGGACTGCTGAGCAATTGCACTCGCGGTCGACGGGCTCTCGCTCAACACGATCTCATAACCGTCTCGGTAAGAGTCCATCCCTACGGTCAAAAGCTGCCAGAACATGCTGCCTGCTGCCGCCCCACCTCCGCGAGCTGAGGAATAGATTGCCGAATAGACTGTGTCGAAAAAATGGTCCCTCTCATTCTGGTTGTAGCCCGAGTCTTTCGATGAGATCCCGAACTCCGCGAATAGGAGCGGCTTGCGGAGAACGTTCTGCGCATCCTGAATGTGAGTGTTCACCCAGTTGCTGAGGAAGGAGATTTGGTTTCCTTCACTCAGGTCAGACAACCTGTTTGTCGAAAATAGAAACGAACATGTAATTTATCGTCATGCAATAAGATAGATAGTAGTCGTATTTGGTTTGGCATTTTATTTAGCGTTGTAATGCCAGCACAGTACTTATACTTACCATTGATCAGGATATGAGTGAACCGTTGCAAAGTCAATACCAGGAATCTGATTATTTTCGATGAAGTCAGTTCCGACGAGGAAATCGGGGTTGTTTTGCTGCTTTTGAGCAGCGGATTGTGCATAGAACCCTTCTAGGCCGGCCTCCAGTAAATGGTTCCCATCGATTGATTTCACATAAGAAGCCATCTCCGTGATCCATGCCTATAGACAGAACAAAACGTAATTTAAGTCAGCTCCAATCGTGCATTTTTAGTTTGAAATACCTCCAGATTTGATGAAAAGATTGGAGAAACTGCCAGCATAAGTTGAGAATGTGCAATAAAATGATGGGGGTTTCCAAATACGTTTCCATATGCAAATAGCCCAAGACATGACATGAGATTAAAAAGGAGCATTTGGGAACCTGGATGGTCCTTCCTGATGGATCTGAAGGGCATCTGACTTCATTCATCAGCTCCCAAGCCATTATTGCCGGGTCATCCTTATAAGCAATCCCAGTTACGCTGTTCCTTCTTGTAAGAACGGTCTGATTTTGCACCAAAAAACAGCAAACAGGACAACAACAGAAGTGTCAAGATTCTTCCATAGAACATCCAATCCAATGACCAGATGAGCTAATCCAATGCAGATTGAAAGATGGGGATGGTAGAAGAGATAGAAATTCGACCTTGATGTGATTTTTGTAATAACCCTTCACCACAGGATTGGTGAAGAAGTCATCATCGGATGCTATGGACTGTCCCTGGCCTCTTGCCCACTCCACATACCGTTTCTTTCCTCCCAATGCCTCATAGTTATCCACCAGACTCAGCACCAGCTTGATCCCAAACTTTTTAGCCTCTGATATCACAAAATCCAATCCCTTTGCACACACCCAAAAATGAAAAATAAAAAATTTACCATTAAGAAATGAAAAATTATCCCTAAGAAAATCCACTGAGAAAAAGCAGGAAAAGCAAAATAAGAAACCAAGCTCACCTGGAACATCTGCTCATTGTAGGAACCAGGAGAGGACTGAAGGGGCATGTACCCACCATCACTGAACGCCCAAGTCCTGGCAATGGAGAGGCCATGGCTCGAAGCTTCCTGGAAAGCAGAGGTGACCTTGGCTCTCTGAGATGGGTCTGACGCCAAGATCATCAACCAGTAGGCATTGAACCCATTCGCATAAAAGGGGCTCCCGTTTAACATGAAGTGCACTCCCTCAGTCTTCATGAACCCACCTTGATCTTCCGCCTTCACAACGAAATGCGACCCTCGTTCTTGAACCAGAACAAGAGCCAAGAACAACAACACCCTCAGATGCTTCATGTTTTCCCTTGCCCTGTGAAAACAGCCACAAAGAAAAATGTTCTCAAAATGGAAGTCCTGTGGAGCTTTGAGGTCTTTTTAACCTCGATGGATTGAATTAACAATATAATTTTGTGACCGGGGAAAGGGCCTGGCGAAATTTGTGGGGGCCAAGTAGGTGGTGAAAAGCATACGACAGTCACAAGTTCACGGTGAGGACAAGTCTCCTTTCCTTTGATTGCTCTGCTTTTTTGGCCTTTCTGTCTTGGTGATAAACAGGGTGTTGGTAGGTTTACCACCGTAGAAAATGGAACAGAGTCCACCTGTCCCAACAACGCATGAACACATCACGTGGCTTGCAGGCTCTAGATTTGGGTGATTCCGACACTTTCTTCTCCTTCTTCTGGGGTACAAAATCTCTTCCCTCTCTCAAACGATTGATCTTGAAAAGAACTCGCACATGATCAAGCCTAAGATCCGGCCACGCTTAATTAGATTGTTAATTCTTTTTTTTTGTCACAATTTAGATTGTTAATTCATATGTTATGCATTGTGACGCATAAGACATGTAATGAAATCGTTCACTATAATTATGGATTTTGCTAGTATAACAGTCTTCGGGCTACTGCGAAAGTAACAATAAATTATGAGCCACAAATTTTTTTAAGGTGTAAACTCCACAATAATTTATTATTTAGTTTTTTTTTATCCAGTTAATCTCATGGTAGATTAAGAACTGTCACTTAATCATTTCTCTTTCATTATTTTGCTTTGGTAGATTCAATTTAATTGATTTGTACTAAGCATTAAACATGGACTTTGATGTTTGCTTTGAGGATCGGGAATTTCCTAGTTTCACACGTCGCTCCGTCGCGTACATGCTAATACCGAAATTTCTCGAGGCTAACAAAAAGGATATTGACAGAGTCGTACAAGTCCAAAGGGTTTAGATATCGTGCTAGAATCGATTTTTTACCTTGGAATTATTATTGTGGGTCACATTATTTAATGCAGGTGAACGGGGCAATTTACATGTAATTATAATAATTTTGATCCGGATAAAGTTTAAATAAATATGTAAAAAGGAAAGAAGAAGCCGAAAGGTTTTTTGTTTTTTGTCGGTGAAGCCGAAAGGTTGACGTCAAGGAAATTTGATGGGCAGGACGGACAAGTCCGCCGGAGTCTCCGCTAATAGTTGATTGTAACGAAGAATCTACAAGCGCTTATCCAGGCGGAATCAGAGCGTGACGGTGGGTCAAGCGATCAGGTGTTCACGCGTTGCATGTAATCGGGTGGATGCGCGACACGTGGAATCGAACGTGGGGGTTACATCAGCTGATGCGTTGCACATCCAACGGCTGGTCTTGGAGGTGCGATGGAGAGTGGGTGAGAGTGGTCTACACTTCACCCGAAGTCATTTGAGGTGGAGAAGCTTGGAATGGGTCCTTGGGATTAAGGTCAAAGGAAAGAATAAAGGGTCGGAGATTGCGGAAGAATTTAGAAGAAGTGAAAATCCGACAAAGGAGATTCTATTCGGTTTCTTGCTCTTTTAGGTTTTGATAATAATAATAATAATTTTGTCTCCAGGTGAAAAATTTGATTGGCATGCCGTGACTGATCGATTATAAAATGCGTGAATGGCTTCCCAATTGAATTTTTATGTTGAAGTTTACAATAATTCCCTCTTCTTATTGATGAGTTACCCCACTTGTTAATATCACGCTAAGTATCATTTGTGGAGGGGCAATCGATCCTAACACTCATCATTTAGCGTTGTTACATGAGTAGTAATGATTGTAAAATATTCCGATTAAATTATAACCATTGTCCTTAAAATCCAGTTCCTGAAGGGATCCTTATAATTAAGGCTTTGACAAGGGCAACCTAGTCATCGTTAGTGCGTCGGAAGTAAAAGGCCCGTAGCCTTTTTCTTTTCCTCAAGATATTATTTCAAGAACAATCTCATTGTCGTCCAATCATGAAGAGTTTCCTTACACACAAGAGAGTCGGCTCACAAGCCTACTATCGATTTAACTTGTGACCTCATTGAAAGAGTCGTGCCTCACCCAACCGCTGACGAGGCTCGCCTTTGCCGTCACTAGTGAGGGCGAGCCTCTCCAATAGCTAACGAGGTTTGACCCTTGCTAGCCCAGCGCAAGGTTGCCTCGCGACCATCTAGCAAGGGTAAGCCTCGCCAGTGGCTAGTGGCCTCTGGCCTGTCGCCGGATCTAGGCAACCAGCTAGAGGAAGAAAAAAGGAAAGAAAAAAAAGGAAAAATAAAAAAATATTAAAAAATTAATAAAAATATATTAAAATATTATTAAAAATTATCTACATCAGCGTAAGCGATACCACGTAAGCCGTCCAAAGTCCACTTCAAACAGTATCCAGCCAAAATTAGTCGGAAGAACTAAATTGACATTATCTCAAAAGGTTTAAAACTAAAGTGGCACAAAAAAAAGGTTTAGAACTAAATTGGCACAAATATAATAGATTTAGGACTTTTCCAACACTTTTCCCTCACACTAAGTATCATTTAAGGAGGGGGTAATCTATCCTAACAACCATCCTTTAGCGTTGTTACATGAGTAGTATTAATTGTAAAATATTCCGAATTAAATTATAACCATTCTCCTTAAAATTTCGTTCACGAAGGGATTCTTATAATTAAGGCTTTGACGAGGGCAACCTAGTCATCATTGGTGGGTCGGAAGTAAAAACCTTGGAGTCTTTTTTTTTTTCTCAAGATATGATTTCAAGAATAGTCTTTTTTTTGCTAGAAATTAAACTTTTTATTGCAAACAAAGCAATTACAAAAAGGAAGCATTACCTACATTAGAGCGAAATATAAAAGAAGACTCTACTAGTACAATATTTCAAGAACAGTCTTATTGTCGTCTAACCGTGAAGAGTTTCCTTAGGAATAAGAGAGTCGGCTCGCAAGCCTACTATCAATTTAACTTGTGACCTCGTTGAAAGATGGCAACTGGCAAACGCCTTCATTATTACCTACACGCTTTGGTAATTTGAATTCTGAATGTTTGATTTTGGCCAATCGAGTCCTTTACGTTTTAAAAAACATGCAATCAAGTCTGTAACTCATCTCCAGTCCGACGTGGCTTTAACGTTAACAAGTGTCAATCTATGGATGTGTGAAGCATTTGATGGCACATCTGTAAGAACGCCGAATGTATGTCTAATTGACTAAAACTAAGGGATTGTTTGTTTGTGTTTTTTAAAGCAAAAGGCAAATCTCTACTTTTTTGTCAAAATATTATTCAAATTGTAAAACTAAGAAAAAATTATACGTGAATTTACATGTTTAATAACTGCATATTGTGAAAATTTCGAGTATTTAGGTTGAGAAAAATTCAAATTTGTGTTCGTCAAAAAATTTAAATTAAAAAATTGAAGGCAAAAGTTATTCCAAATACACTTTAACTGTTTTTATGACGGACCAAAAGCCCGCAATAAATTTCCCATGCATTCATAATGATTATGAGTGTCTAAGTTGTAGCTGCATCATATTAGTTTTTTCATTTTTTATCGAAAAAAATTATATTCGTTGCTCACAATGATATATGAGAAATAACAAATTTCACTTTGCGGCTGGAAGTCTCGCCCTCTTACAAGTTAAATCCTAAACTTTAAATCCTTTCACTATCTCCATCGAAACTCCTTAAGCCCTAAACTTCCAATGCTCGCAATTTATCCTCCAAAATACTCGCCTCTTATCGATTAAACCCTACACTTTTTATTTTTTTCGAGATTAAACCCTGTACTTTTTTATTTATATAAATATGTAAGACTTATAAACTAAAATGTCAATTGCAACACATTAACTCTTTTTATATCAGATGAAAAATGGCCTCTAGTTCAAGAATCTTTTCGCCATAGCTTAAAAAATAATGTGGACTGCATACTTTGATGAGAAAAAATATTGACATCGAGGCTCCGTTTATTGCACGAGAAATAAATATTATGAAAAATATTTTACTAAGAATTGTCGCTTAAATTGCTTATAAAAATGAATAAACAAAAAAAATTTCGTCATTCATAAAACTGCTTAAATATAAATTATCATCGATAGTGAAAACATTTTCAACCGACTAATTAATTCAAGCTATACAAGCTTCCGCGAAACAAACGGAACCTAAAAACCGATGTTATAATATGTAATTTGAGTAGTAAAATGTACGGATAAGTACATTGGAAGTCTTAAAACTTGTCACGAAAGTGCAATTGAGTTCTAAACTGTCAAAAAAGTACTATTAAGTCTTAAACTTGTCGCAAAAGTGCAATTGAGTTCTAAACTTTCAAAAAGTGCGATCTAATTCTAGAACTTGTCAAATTGGTCAAATCAAGTCCTTTCATTTATTGCACTTTTTGAAAATTTTAATACTTGACTGCACTTATGTGACAAGTTTTAGGACTTGATTATACTATTTAAAAATTTTATGATTCGATTGCACTTTGGTGATAAGTTTTAGGTTTTTTGATGCACTTATTCCTAAAATGCAAGGATTGAACTTTTCAAGAGCCCGCAGTTTTTGGCTGGGCTGGAGGCCCAATACGAGTCCAAAATCTGAAATGATCGGGCCTGAAGATCCGAATTCAACTACCAAAAAAACCCGAACCGAAACCATTTCGACCCGTTTCTTGACCTTTTGGTGAACGTGCTTCTGTCGCTCACGGCATTTCGCAGACCGCAAAGGTGAACCTGAACTTCCGCTCGAAGCCACTGCAGCAAGCAGCCGCCAAATACTCCCCAGCAATGGCGGCGATCTCGTCTCACCGCGTCTCCGGCCCATCATCCCCCTCCTCGCTCCTCTCCTCTTCCGCCTCCTCCGCCTTCTCCGGCGACGGCGCCCGCCTCTCCGGCGCCTCCCTGGCGTTCCCGGCGGGTCCCCGCTCCCCCCGCCGCCGGTTCTCCTGCCGGGCTTCGTCCGCTACCTTTCCGACAACGCCATCCCCCGTCCACGCCAGAGGCTAGCGCTCTCTTCTTTCACTTCGTTTCTGGGAATTGATCGTTTTTACGCGGTGCAGTGCTTCGCTCGCTTCTGTTTTCGTTACGATCTTCCCGTCTGATTGAGTATGTTTTCAGTTTCTTCTTTCTCGTTACAGACGCTTGAGTTCGATATTGTAGAAAGCAGGACATGCTGGAG